ATAAACAACCCCTGTTTCGTATTTGTCCATTCAACCATGCTTGAATATTTAGAACACCAGATGGAAAATGGAAAATACCCCCCACCCTCCAAGCACCCCAAATTGGAAACAGGAAGTGTTTATCTTCTAATTGATTTTGTTGTCATGACAACATGGGATCTCATATCAGCTGTTTAAAACACAGTGAACATTTTAAATTAACTACACGAGTCGTGTATTCTACGAATATAATGGTTTCGAGCGCCATTTGTAATGAAAAAACGAAATATATATGAACTTTATAAATTTCCCGCCAAAATAAGCCTCCATTTTGAATTTGGCCCCCTAGCGGAATTAGCCGTCACTCTTAGGAGGAATACCCAAGCTCTTTGGATTCAGCGGGTCGGATTCGAAGTAGTGTGATCCTCCCGCACTTAATTACTATTAGGGCCGATCAACTAACTCAATACACGTGATACGTTTTCAAACAACTTAAACCCACTAGTCTTCATCTGGAAATGGAGACCGGTGTCTGGATAAAACCAGACTTTTATTTTATAAAACTAACGTGTAGTTGGAATTTATCTTTCGTTATCAAGTGCACCACGTGGATCATGTACTTTATAGACCTCTAAAGGAACGGCAATATATTATCAGGTCACCCAACAAAAAAATTGACCCGAAATCTTAGAGGGTTACGTGTCCAGATAAGCTGTTTTGACGTTCACGTACAAACGACTCAATATTTTGAGGTGAAATTTTGCGACATGGTAAATACACCATTCCGCTATATTTTGGCGTCCAAATTTCATACGTACATGGACGTTAAAATCGGGATGGTGCCTTTAAATAGTTTTGATGTATTATACAACTCTATTTTGATTAACATAATCAATACAGTGGTATTTAGTGGTGTCAGCGAATAAAATGATGACACCTACACAGCAGATGTTTATAACAAAAGTATATAAATATCGTGCTCTTTGGTTTTAATATTATTATACAGAGAATATCTTTTGGGTGCTGTGAATTTGAAAACCAGGGTAAGTATGATTTGTTTCATGGAGCCGCGCTGGCTTAATTAGTTAGATATCACTAGGTCGTTCCAGGTGTTGGCCGAGAAAGTTCTCGTGCTTTTCTGGCGTGGTTTCCCCTTGTCATTGGTGGAGGAAGAGGTCCTTAAGGAACAGTTGATCTTATGGAACGCAAAACTGACGTCTCATGTACACATTAGCATGCACGTGGAAGGAAATGGGGTTTAAAATGCTACTGCAACGATTGGGCTAATGACGACAGACACACCCTACACAGTGTGTTTTGATTATCAGGGAAATTTTGCCAGGACAGCGGCAATACGACCTCCTCTTATATCGAATTCAAACCGTCAAGGGTTATTTTATATGTACGCCAATGTGTACACTTCACCTCAGTTTTTTCTTCCAATCCGAACGACTACTGATTGATATACAACGGTTGTTGTATATTGTATGCAATGTCCGTGTATCATGTGTCGTGTCCATAAATTCATCTTGGTTGCTGTTTGTGTTCTCCTCGACGTACTGTTAGAAACCTTTATTTTAAGTCACTTGTAATTTTCCAAATTACGTGGCCGCGTGTGGGGGGAGTGGGGGGGGGGAGAAGGGTGATGATCCAAGATGAAGACGAAATTAAGTTTGGTGTTATTGCAATGAGCTTAGGGGAGAAGAAATATGCTCTACTTGAGCAGAGGGGTGGGGTGGGGGCTGAACGCCCTGGACACACCTCTACTCTACCCGCCTACTAGACACCCGCCCGTGGGCTTCATTTAGTTGTATGTGACTAGCGTGACTCTTTTATGGTCATTCAAACGGAACCAACCATTTTATTCACTGATTATTATAATGGTAACTGGAAGGGGACCGCATCACATGCAAACAGTTATACAAGACAAACCTACGGACAGGACGCATATATAATAGAGTTGTGATACAGATTTCACCCAAAATGAAAAACAAATTAACAATAAGGAAGAAGGGAAGTAACCTAAACAAGACAAACTTACCAATTTTAGTAACTGAAGCAAAAAGGGGAATATTTCCCAAACGTTGTATGATACTCGTGACCTTAGATGAAATTTGTTTTTTTTTTTTTTAGTTTTTCCGAAGATGAAGTGTGTTAGTATATTGCTTGGTGTTGGCTGTTTAGCGATGTTAGCTTATGAAATCGAAGGAGGTATGTAAGATATGGATAAACCTAGTTAGTACGGAGGGGGGATGGGCGAATGGTTAGCGTGTGCGCGTTGTATAATAAGTTATGTCATTGAGTCAACTAGCGTGGTTTCGATTCCCTGGTTGTGTACGTGACAAGGAGTAGATCGCCTGTCCAATCTCACTGGTTTTCTCTGGGTCCACCTGTTTCCTCCCACTGCTAAAGACGCCTACACACAAGCCAGTTATTGAAATAAAATTGAACCGCATGTTAGTCCCGATATGACCTAGTTTGTTTCGAGTGGACGTTAAACCCCATTTCTCTCTCTGTCTCTTCATTCCAAAAGTATACGGTTGTTTTAATCATTCCAGTTTCTAGTTACTGGGTCGGGTGGAGGCGAATGATTTGACGCGTGCTCGTTAGATTATAAGTCTGTTTTTGAGTCAAGTAGCGTGGTTTCGACCCCTCTTTTGTACGTGACAAGTACTAGGGTCGCCTGGTCAAACTCGTGGGTGGGTTTTTCTCCGGATCTCACAGCTAACCCCACTACGGCCAAAAGAATTGTTGTAATCAAATTGAACCATATGTTCGTCCCAATATGACCTGGTTTGTGTCTGTCGAGTTGACGTTAAACCAAATTGTTATCTGTGCTACTTATTTCCCAAACGTGTTTATAATTATGTGGTTGTATTTAACCACCCTAATATCTAATTATAGATATATTGTTCCCTTCCATGTGTATTATAGGTAGATTACTTCCTTCAACCGACGTGGTTTCCCCTTGTCAGTGGTGTAGGACAAGCTAGAACAGCTGTCCAGTCGTTCGGATTGTCCGAAAAACCGAGGTCCCGTGTTTACATTGGCGTGCACATAAAAGATCCCTTGGCAGTGGGATATAACTAAGAGTAGGCAATAGTGCCGCAACCCGGGCAAAATTTCCCCCATAGCACACTGTATGGCTTATACCTGTCTTCATTAACCCAGTCGGAGCAGAACAGTACGACGTTAAACCCCATTTCATTTCATTTCATTTCATTTCATGCTTCCTTCAATTTATGTTTATTACAGGTTCATCATGTGAAACACCTGAAGGTACTATTATAAAGGCTGGAGAATATAAGATGGACTACGAAAAATGTTTCAAGTATACTTGTAATGGGGAATATCTTGAAACTTTTGGGTACGATTGACTTTTAATATACAAACTTAGGGTGGAATATGTGTTGATGTTATTGGTTCGGTATTTTGGGATAGATCAGTCTACAGGTTAGAACCAGCTCACCAAATATTTCAACACCGTCAACCGAATGTAAGGGCGAAAGTTATTTTTAGTCTCTCTTTCCCTCCCCCAACTCCCTTTTGCATGGCGATTTTTGTTGACTTCTTGGTGTAGAATCGAATGAAAGGGTTCGAAAATACATTTTCTACCAAGGTTTGGTTTGGTTAGTGTTCGTGATTTTGAGGCGAAAGAATACGAGAGTTGAAAGTGTGGTTAGGTTGAAATGTTGGGCGGAAATTTCCATGTTTAGTGGTGTTTACTTCCAGTTTTTCATGATAAACCCCATACTTTCTTTTGAGCAAGAGATTGCCACATGATCCCTGTCGAAGAAATGAAGAACAGGCTAATACAAAATAAAACTAGTATTTTAGGGCAATGGGGGCTTGTATATGTGACCTTTACAAGCTCATTCATTGAAAATTCTAGTAAATGAGTGATCTCCCTTTAATGATAAGACCACTATTAGTTAATAGCACTAATAATTAATACCCCTCTATTTTGTAACAATTCCAAAAAGTGATCTGTGACAGTTATCTCCCTTGCATTGTATACCTAACTAACCAAACAACCACTAACCGTATGCTAGTCTCCAAATGATTTAAACATTGTGTTTTGAAGTGTAGTGTGTCCCGTTACCTCAAGCCTAAATGGGTGAATTATGAACGAAACACAATATAATAACGTTTTTATTCGTTGATAATAAGCCCTGTCATTAAGTCAAGTGGCGTGGTGTTTATTCCCTGGTCCCTGGGGGATCACGTGGCTAAGTGGGTAAGACGCTATCTGGCTAGCCTGGAAGTCGGGTGTTCGATCGTTCGATCCCTGCATTGGCCGAGAAAGTTCATCCAGTTTTTCCGGCGTGGTTCCCCCTTGTCAGTGATGCAGGACGGAGGGCCTGACAAGGACAGCTGTCTAGTGCTTCGGATGAGACGAAAAACCGAGGTTCCGTGTATACATTGGAATGCACGTAAAAGATCCGTTGTCAGTTGGAATTCGATATAAGAGTAGGGGATAGTGCCGCTGCCCGAGCAAAATTTCCCTCATAGCACACTGTATGGCATATGCCCGTTTTCATTAGCCCAGCATAGGAGCAGAACAGTAGGACGTTAAACTCCATTTCATTTCATTTCATTTCGTCTATTCGCTGCGTGTATGTGACAAGGAGTAGGATCGACTGTCCCGACTCGCTGGTTTTCTCGTGGTCCTGCAGGTTTTCTCTCACTACAAAAGAAGACTCCCCAGTAACGAATAGGCGGAAACGCCGATGTCTGGGCTAAATTCCCACATAGGACATTGTATGCTTAATGCAAAAGTCCATGTAAACAAGATATTTTCAATTTTTTCGATTTTATGACCGGTACCACTTTCCGATTTTACCGGTCTTATTTAAACATCCAATAAGCTGCATTTTCAGGCATGTCATCTGTCAGGCTAGTGCACAGTTTGCTTGGTTGCTTGGTTGAGAATTATCGATGGGTGGAAACATGGCATTGTCCATTGCAGTGACATTTCTTAAACTTGAACAAGTTTTAAATTTTCAAAACAGACGCCTTTTAATAGAGTGTTTATTATCATTAAAAAAAATAAGCAATATATCTTGCTTGGCTGAACTGTTCCTAATCATCCAATTTAGTAGACATTAGTAGAGTGAAGCCCAGTACTAATTCCTCAAAATCATTGTTAGGAAAAGGTGATATAACTGTTTTTGTTGTTCCCAAAAATAGAAAAACACCAGAGCCAAAACCACAAATAAAAAAATAGCCAGATTTACTGCACACCTAACTGCAGCGCGAAACCCATCTGCATGGCCTAAAATAAATCAAAAAACAATGTCACTGAGGCAATCTGATTAAAACACAGATCCTATTTCGTTTCGGTTTTATAGTTCAAAATTTTGTTTTACGTGTCTTTACTACACTAGGATCTGGAAGAGTTGTTATCATTGACGTGTTCTGGAAGATGTGAGGGATAAGCCAATGAAACGGTCTGTTACGGCGAGTTCTTGGCCTTTGATGCACGGAACTGTAGGTAAACCACTAGAAACCACAACGCTGATTGAATAATCGATGCCTGACGTCATAGGGTCAAAAGCCGCGCGTTTGACCACTGACGCGACCGCCCAGTACAAATGGTCACATCTTCATGTAGTGTAGGCCATTGAAAGTATAAAAAAACTCAAACGAAATATAGATCTGTATTTTAATAAAAGGAAATCAAATTGATGAAAACTGTTATTTAGATATAGCTGTATAGACGACCCAAACATAAAATATACATTAGGTAATGTTTTACATCAAATACGTCAATTGAACCATAAGATAGTCCCGAATTGACCTAGTAAACCCCATCTCGCTCTCTCCCTCTCTCTCTCTCTCTCTCAAGGCTGTTTTGTCAAGAGAAATCTTATGTCCGGACGATTTAATTGTTATGCGTTTACGATTTTTTTAGTCTCAATTAAAAAAGGCCACTGCGCAACTTTTCCGTTTTCCCCACAAAAGTCTAAAAGTATTCTCACCTTTACGGTATTCACATTCTAAATCTTTTTGCCTTTCCCTTTCTTCATAAATTACCATTTCCTGTCTGCTGTAAAGAATACGTCAAAAATAAAGGCACAGCGTTGCCGTCCATCGACCCAACGTATGAATGGGTTATACCGATTCCAAATAAGGTAAATATACCAGCTATCGATGATTCGCAACGTCTGCACGCAATTTCCGGATGTGACGCAAAAAAATTTCCGAGAAAGCATGGGAAAAAGACACCAGTGGGTCAGTGGATAAACTAAAATCGTACTATGCTGGATTTAGATGAAGAAATGCCTTAGGCTATTCAGGCAGCACTGACATGGGGGAACTATGTCTTTAGGCTACGTTCTTTTTATACTTTCGATGGCCTACACTACATTAACATCTGACAAATTATAGCGGAAGTTCACGTCAGGGGTCAAACAAGCGGCTTTTGACCTATGACGCCAGACATTGATTATTCAATCAGCGTTGACTTTTCTAGTGGTTCACCCACAGTTCCGTGCATCAAAAGGCCGTTTCATTGGCTAACCCCCTCACATCACCCAGAACACGCCAATGATAACTCTTCCAGATCCTAGTGTAGTCAAACGAAATTTTGAACTATAAAAACAAAACGAAAATGGATCTGTGCTTTAATTACAAATATATCACTTCGAGCATAAAACCAAATAGAAAAAAAAATGAAATGGAGTTTAACGTCTTACTGTTCTGCTCCTAAACTGGGCTAATGAAGACGGGCATACGCTATAAGGGAAATTTTGCCCTTGTAGCGGCGCTACGACATACTCTTATATCGAATTCCAATTGCCAAGGGATCTTTTACGTGCTCATCAATGTGTCCACGGGACCTCGGTTTTTTTGTCCCATCGGAATGACTAGACAGCTGTCCTTGTCAGGCCCTCCGTCCTGTATCACTGACAAGGTGAAACCACGCCAAGAAATCTGGATGAACTTTATCGGTCAGTGCAGGGATCGAACACCCGACCTCCAGGCTAGCGAGCCAGCGTCTAACCCACTTAGCCACCGTGATCCCTCCCTCCACAAAAAAAAAAAACGAAATAGAATAAGTACTTCACCTTGACACGTCTGCTCCCATGGCTCTCGAGTACTCGATTCCTGCAAACTAAAATTTGTGTTAAAACAATAAGAATATATGTAAAATCAGTGAGAAACAAAAGGTCAAGTATGTATAGGGTCATTGTGTTTTCAACTTTCGATTTAATACGATTTAACCTGGTTTTACTCAATTTAACCTGGTTTTACCTGCTTAAACCTGGTTTTACCTGCTTAAACCTGATCCTACCTGATTTAACCTAGTTTTACCTGTTTTAACCTGGCTTTACCTTCTTTAACATGATTTTACCTGCTTTAACCTGATTTAACCTGGTTTTACCTGATTTAGCCTGATTTAACCTGATTAAGCCTGATTTTACCTGATTATTCAGTTCATGGAATATCTTTAGATTTGATTAGTATTTAACAGTTGGGAAAAAAGACCACGACCTCACTGAGTTATACACATTTTACTTTGAATTTAAGACAAACGCCAGCGAAAATAAATTATTATTAGTAGGACAGTACTTGAGTTTTCGATATTTAGGCAAATCTATAGATTGATTGTTCAATATTAAACATACATTATGCAAGAGCTAAATCTGCCAATTGCACGCCTTTCTTTAAGCCTGAAATGTTATCTAAATTATAAATTCAACCGCTAAAATCTAGGTTCAAAGTGGATCAATTTGACTGAAATTTTTAGCAAATTCCCTTTACATTATCTCGTTATTACTATTATAGTGAGAACTGTCAGCTCTTTATCTAATTTCCTAGCCTCGATCATCATTACTAAAGTCGGCACGATAAAAAAACATAGTCCCGATGATCCATTTCATGATTAAATCATGAATGAAAGTTGAGCAGCAAATGGGATCCTAATCCAGTAAACATCGCAGGCTAGCGTTGACAGTGGGAGTTGATTATGATCTGGATAAGTTAATTAATGTCTAATTAATAATTTAGATACCATTTCAGGCCTTAAGGAGGACCTGCAATAGACATATTTAGCTCTTGCATAATGTAGGTTTAAACCTTTACAACATTGCAGTTTGCAAGGGATTCACATAGCGCTAAATAACGCATCGAGTCGCCTTTACATTTTACATGTATTGCAAAATACACAGGTACGTGAAGGGATTAAAATAAAACTTCTTACTACTGCTTGACTATATATTATAGTATATAAAAGGTATTTCAGCCGCCATCTTTGTTTTCACGTCTTCAAGGCATTACGTCTGCTAACATCTCACAATACTCACTAGTTCTAACACTACCCGTCGTTTTTATTGCCAACGAGACCTTATTTGATCATTATTCAGCTTCCGATGTAATTAAATTGGCCATTTAACAGCGTTATTAATTACAAATCAAACGTGAAGCGCTGTCACTTGCCGAAATTCATGTTCAACGGCCCGGAAATAAGTTGTGTTTGTAGCAGTCTGTATCACCCAGTCCCTCATAAACCTATCCGTTACTCGAAATTTTCCTAGGAACTGGGTGATCCAGACTGCACCTTATTAGCCCAGTTCGGAGCAAAACAGTAGGACGTTAAACCCTATTTCATTTCGACATATTTTGCTATACCGTCATATTCATTTAGAAACCCCGGTGACACAGTGGGTAAGGCACTGACACTAAACAGTGGCAGATTGGGTCAGCCAAACCCCCGTTCCTCATTTGGAGAGCAGACAGCGTTTGTTGATAGTCACCATGGCGACAGTTATTCTCAATGGCTTTACTATTGCAAATGGCTGTGTATTTATAAATAAATATTTAAATTTCACCCAAACAAGATAAAAACTGAACGGATTCGGTTCTTCTCAAACTTGGTTATTTCGTCCCATCCTTGTCGGGCCCTCCGTCCTGCATCACTGACAAGGGGGAGCCACGCCGGAACTTTCTCGGCCAATGCAGGGATCGATCACCTTACCTCCAGGCTAGCGAGCCAGCGCCTTACCCACTTAGCCACCGTGCCCCCCCCCCCCCTTCCCGCCCCCATACAGGACTCGGACCTTTTTGTCCGTATATATATGCACACACCATGGCCACCTAGATGATGTATGATAAAAAAAAAAGAACAGGAATGCAATGCTTATTGGAGCCTCGATTTTATCTGCTCTCGGTTCGGGTCGTTTTTTTTTCAACAATTCGTAATGTCAGGCAGTCTAACCTCTGCCGATTCACTAAGATATGTTTGTCTTCAATTTAGTCGTTTTGATTTTCACAAATACTCTCGTATCCATCCGCCTCAAAATCATGAATATTTACCATAATCTGCCAGAAAATGTACATTCAAACCCCTTTCTTCGATTCTACACCCAAAAGACAACAAAGAGTACCATGAAAAAAGGGAAAGGGAGAAAAAAACTAAAAATAACTTTGGCCCTTGTTTCGATGGTCTATTCAAAGCGGGTGGATTTTGTGTGACGTCATTGCTTGGTGTCGATGACAAATTTAAAATTAACGGACGAAAATAATGTAAATATTGGAAACAAGTGGCTATAATATCGTTTTGTGGGGAGTATTTATGCAAATCAAAACGACTAGACTGACGCATAAACATATCTGAGTGAATTGGCAGACATTAGATTAACACATGACACAATTATATGTAATACAAGTTAGCCTATTTAAAAGATTTATTTCTGGCGATGTCTATACGAGAGTTGTCTCATCTTTATCAAGCAAAGAGATTGGATTGCCCGACATAACAAATTGTTGAACAAAAATTGACCCGAAGCGAGAACAGGTTTAATCGAGGTCCCAGCAGGCATTGCATATCTACTCTTTTTTAATTATATATTGTCTATGGTGTATATATATACGGATAGAAGGTCAGATTCCTGTGCTCCTTGTCACGTTCAATGACTGATCTTATGATCCAACCTTAAACGATTCGACTCCCAATCCTTACCCCCCCCCCCCACCACACACACACACGCACACACACTATTTTTGTACTATAACTCGGTCATATTTATATTCATAATTTAAGGATATAAAATTCATATTTACCCTATCTATGAACAATGTCCACCGTCTGTTTATTTACTGCTTTATCGATATGGAAATAACACTTTCATATACCGGTTTCTTCGATAACGGCTTATAATTCTCCGTAAAAATGCCTTTAACCTAATGGCCTACATGTAAATAACAGTAGGTTGACATGACTGTTACTAAACTGATAATGGGGGTTGGATGGCCATATAAAAAACCTAGACTGATTGTTCAAGTGGTGTAGGGTATAGTTTTATCAGACAGGTTATAGAGTCAACAGAGTTATCTTGTACTAAATTTAAATACAGATTTATATCATTTATAAATTGTTGGCGAGATTGTAGGTTGGGGTTAGGGTAAGCGTTAGATCCAAGGTTAGGGTAAGCGTTAGGGCCAGGGTTAGGTTTAAGAATATAATCTTATATGGGCATCTTTGGTCTTGTAGATATTGCATGTAAAATATGGTTTTCAGAATTACTGAATTCAATATTGGGCTCAACATTAATTGTTATGCATAAAATTTGTGCATTAGCTAGAATCAGTAAAAATACGCCATATAAACTGATAAATCGTATGTTATTTCACAGCTACACACGAAAATGTTTCATTTTTATCCAATAAGACATTTCACATCAAAGCTATTGTATTACTGAATAATCCTAAATTTATTCATAGAAATAAATATTTCTATGATTTAGTGATCATCTAGAATTCATATTTATAACCTGATGAGCTTGAAATTAAAAATACTACTGGCAGTGACAATTACGCTTCCTACTTGGATCTGCATCTCGATTTTGACAGTTGCAATAAACTGGGTGTTTATTATAAGATAAACCTGGTATGTTCGTCCCAATATGACCTGGTTTGTGTCGAGTTGACGTTAAACCAAATTGTTATCTGTGCTCCTTATTTTCCAAACGTGTTTATAATTATGTGGTTGTATTTAACAATCCTAATATCTAATTATATATATTACTTCCTTCAACCGACGTGGTGGTGCAGGACAAGGACAGCTGTCTAGTCGTTCGGATGGGACGAAAAACCGAGGTCCCGTGTTTACATTGGCGTGCACATAAAAGATCCCTTGGCAGTGGGATATAAGAGTAGGCAATAGTGCCGCTGCCCGGGCAGAATTTCCCCCATAGCACACTGTATGGCTTATACCAGTCTTCATTTACCCAGTCGGAGCAGAACAGTAAGACGTTAAACCCCATTTCATTTCATTTCATTTCATGCTTCCTTCAATTGATGTTTATTACAGGTTCATCATGTGAAACACCTGAAGGTACTATTATAAAGGCTGGACAATATAAGATGGACTACGAAAAATGTTTCAAGTATACTTGTAATGGCGAATATCTTGAAAGTTTCGGGTACGATTGACTTTTAATATACAAACTTAGGGTGGAATATGTGTTGATGTTATTGGTTCAGTATTTTGGGATAGATCAGTCTACAGGTTAAGACAATTTGTCATGGGCAGAATTCTAGGTCTGTAGCTCAAGCCAATGGCTAAGATAATGTCGGTTCAACAGTCAACAGCTTAGGCTGAAAACGAAACAGAGAATTAAAATTACATGCAGGTGCGTGTCCAGGAATTTGATTAGCGGTGGGTCAAGGTGGAAAAAACGTTAAGTTTTTTGCGGGCAGCGGGGGGTTCGGGCTCCTCGACTCCAAATCCCAAGTCCCAAAATCTCACAAACTAAGCAAACATCAAGTACTCAAAACTGCTGTTCAAACGGCATTTAGTAATTGATTTTATTAAAATAAACACAAGAGTTCTATGGAAAACAATTACATTGCTACGATTCGGTTTTATTAAATAATTTTTACGAAAATCACTGCCACAACTGTTACCTTACGTCAAAGTTTATGAAAATATGGTCCTTTTGTTTTAGAATTGGTTATAATGCTGGTATAATGCAGGTCCCCGGGTGTGAACTAAAGAAGTTGGACAACTGTTGTTACCAGTATGTGAAGGTGGGCGACAGTTCCCAAATCTGCATAGAAAAGACTTGTCCTAAAAAAGAGTAGTAACATTGTCAATAAAATAATTATTTTGACTATCCGTCTTGGTTAATATTTGGAATACACTGATTTGATTATAGTAGGGTAGTTCCATATCCTTTCCAGAAAAAAGAAAATTTAGAATGTAAATCCAACCAGTCTGTAAAATCATTTATGAAATAGTATTTCTACTTGTGTTTATGTTGAGTTACATTCCTTTACATATTTTGTTGACGTTACATATTCCCTTTCAAATTGAGTTACATATTCCGTTACATACCATTAAACACCAATCGTTGCTAACGTCCATTTTTTACATTCAGACCCTGTAAATTTCAAAACATTTGCGCAAAACTTACCTTTTGTTGGACACCATTTCGGTGGCGATCTGGTCAGATTTGGACTGCCTTCTTGAGTCATCAGTCTGGAGTGAAAAACACTCTTGACTCGAATCAGGACAGCTGTAGAGGATCTGGATTTAGATTCTTGATAATCACACCGCCATTATTATTCCTTGGGTTAGTTGGTCGAGTGATCTTTCATTGAGTCAAGAGATTTCGATCCCAGACATGTACATGATACGGACTAGTGTCGCCTGCCTAACCTCGTGGGTTTTCTCCGGGTCATCCCGTTTTTTCCGACTGCTAACGCGCCCTGCAATCACGCGAATTATTGAAATAATATATATATTGTTATTAGACCATAAAGTTTCGGGATTGGTAATATAGTGATTAATTTATGGCGTTCTAGTTATCCCTTATACATCTTGAGTTCATCGGATTTTTCCGACGTGGTTTCCCCTTGTCAGTGGTGCAGAATGGAGGAGGGGGGTGACAAGGACAGCAGTCTAGTCGTTCGGATAGGACGAAACCCCGATGTCCCTGTAAACATTGACGTGCACGTAAAATATCCCTTGGCAGTTGGAATTCGATATAAAAGTAGACCATAGTGCCGCTGCCCGGGCAAAATTCCCCTCATAGCACACTGTATGGCGTATACCTGTCGTCATTAGGCCAGCAGGACGTTAAACTCATTTCATTTTATTTATTTGATACTCTTTGAACTTGGTGCTATATAATGTTTGACACAGCAGACAATGTGAAGGATGGAAATGACAAATATCACTATTCTATAACCTATTTGTGACTGTCGTCTGTCTGTTCAAGATTGGCAACTACACTAGGGTTGTCCCGAGGTTGACATTTGGTGAAAAGGCATAGATCGGACCGGGGAGTGACATAGGTCTGTGGCGATGGACTAACACTTCCGGTTTCGGAGTAATGCTACTTTCGGTTCATGCCGATACTCGTGCAGCACCGGGTCATCCGCTAGTATCAGATATCATTTTACATACCCCACCCCATACCGCCCCTATAAACTATGATGGACCTAAAAAAAAAAGGTGTACAATCCCTGAAAAACATGTTTTACTCATAAAGTTGTGCCCCAGTATATTTTTTATTGTACACAGAATTTGTTGATATCAAGGTGGACTTCTGTAGGAGTGAGGTTGTAACTAAAGAAAGTAATTAACCCAGAAGAGAACTCTAGATCGGAGACGGTCTAGCACTTATGCCGTCATAATATGTGAATTGTGGGTTAGGGTTAGGGCGGCAGATTTACTCAAGGTCTCGAGATGTAAACAGAGATAGCGCTATGGAGACACACCCTAAAGCACACACAAAAACACTTGCTTAAACAATTAAATATCCGAATACTAACAGTCCCAGCAAATTACAACAAAAAATTCGATTAATCTAGTCAAGAAATGGTAAAAATCTATTAAAGGTCAGAATTCAATTTCTTAAAATTAAAGATGACGACTGTTTCCGAAGTAGGACCACGGACCAGAAATGATAAAATAATACCAAATATTTCAACACAAAGTAATACTATTTACCAGAGCACTTGATTACCACACACCTGGCTGTACGGATACAGTTAGACGACACACCTAGCTTCTATCGAGTTCTTACGTGTTTATGTCAATATGACTATATATTAAAGTTATATATTAATATGTCGTGTGAAAATAAGGAAACGGGCTTTCCCAGTAAATGTGAAGGTTCTGACTAGAGTAGGGTGACCCGTGCACTCTACAGAAAGTTGGTCTCGACACGGCCTATGTGCACGCTTCAGTGGTTGTGTCTCGAACTGTGATAATAGTCATGCGGTGGAGTGCAATTCTCTACAAATCTATCAACTATTACAGCCGTAAAAAAATCTATTGTGAATAGCAGATTTTGAATAGCAGTAAAATTTAGCTTCTTGGTTATTACAGCAGCTTTAGAAATTACGTTCGTTTTATTTTTTAAATTGCTTTATCATTAACTGTACCGTTAAGAGCGGCATCTTTTGGTTTAGTACAAATAATATCTCTGAATCACTTTCGTTAGCAGGAACAGGATACTAACAGTAGTTAGTATATAAAAATATTGTGGCGGAATTGTCGAGATATTTGGAGATATTTATTTATGGTGGGTCACCCTCACTAGAGTATCATAAAGCTATACAATGTATACATTATTAGTGTAATAATAGAATACACCCTACACTATATATTATATATGCTTTGTGGTCTTTATTTCACCCACTCAGTATTTTCATCCTGCAAACAAACGATATAATAGCCTAACACATGACGCAATAATATGGAATACCAGTTACTTGACGGATTTATTTCTGCAGACGTTTATCAAGCAGAGAATGACAACCATGGTACAATGAAGGTATATATACAAAATATGGAACAAATACTTATAAACACTCACAGATAATCATTTAGAAATTATCAAGAGGACGGGAACCCATAAGGGTTGGGTGTATGTACAAAGACAACATGATAATAAAGACAGCTAAATTGGGCGGTAAATATGTTTACACAGGAGGAACCCACTACGGGACTATGATTAGTGTAGTGAAGCCTTATTTGTGAAAACTGTACCCCCCCCCCCCCTGAAAAAAACCCTTTCCTAAAAAAAAATTCAGATTTACCAACATATTGTATTTATGAAATTGTAAAAGTATTAAGAAATATAGTAAAAAATGAAAGCCATGAGAAGTATAAAAATATTTAGGATATAATAAGATATTTAGGATATATGAAAAAATGTAAAAAAGTGTAAGGAGGTAAAATTATTAAAATAATAAGTAT